GCAAGTACAGAGAAAAAATGGGAGTCAGGGAGAAAACGAAAAAGGAAGAAAGGGAAGTAAAGACTGCATGTGGGATTGGTAGCACTTGTCCCTCATATTGGCTAAAATGGGATACAGCTGGCATTTTTTGGCATGGACCGTCTCTGTGTTCTGTCTGTGTTCAGAGCTGTTTTTGTCTTTATAGATCATGGTCACACTGACAATAAAATTTGAGTGTCTTCATCACAGCACTATTGATGTCATGAAAAGTGTAAGAACCCAAATTTATGAATGAAAGACTTTGCTAAAAGATGCCTGGAACCAAAGAGATCATGGTCAGGGTCCTTGTCTGAGATTAATGTTCTATAGCGTTGTTTATCAGGATAATTCTACCCAGTACTTGGGCCCAGTCTGTCCTAGAAGCAGGGACTTATTTTTGTTTTTTTCATGCCTGTCTTTTGCCCAAAGGTAGACAGATTCCAGACTTAGGAAATTAATTGGTAATAACCAGATTTTCACCAGTGCTGAGATTTACTGGATCAGCAGGTTGTTTAGACAACACAGATTACAGCTGGTCCAGGATCTCTCTCTCCTATTCCTTTGGTTGCAAATTGCCTTCTTCAATCCTCAGATATGACAAGGGCCTTGTGGGCCCATTTAAAACTCTGACTAGGATATGTTGATTAGTGGGAACACAAGTAAGAATCAGAAACAAATGTTGATCCTAGATAATTACAAACTAATTACTTGGAAAACTGAAGAAAATTCTGTTCATTATTTTAACTCTACAAAATGGTTATAGACTATTTCTTAAAATCCTTCTATTTCTCAATCTTAGAGAACTTCTTGCGGCTTTAAAAAATTGAACTCAGTTAAATTGTTGTTGCATGGAGAATTTCAGAAATTATGACAATTAAGGATGTACTGGGTATCGTAAAGTGCTAGTCATAGCTAGAGCTGATTATTTTGGGCATTTGGGGTCCTTTATAGATGAAGGGCATGCCTATAAACACTGAGTCATCCCATCACTAAACATTTACTGCTCATCTATATTGAGGAAGAGAATGGCGGGAATGAACGTGCAAGACAGTTTTGCTCCCTTGGGAGTCATAGATGAATGATCTTCCTTCCTCTACAGACTTTTCTCCTTGTCACTAAAAGTGCAGCCCCACAGCCAGACTTCCACAGATATCGCACGAGCGTTCATTATATGACACTTGGTGGTCATTTCAAGAAGCTAAGAATAATGTAAAATATTTTCTAGACAGATGTGCATCTGATATTTTGTAAGAGACTTTAAGAAGTTATTCCATCAAATACATAGGCTATGTGTGGCATTCTTAAATTTAAAAAAAGATGATCATATTGGTGTTAGTGTGTCTGTGTGACTCTGAGGCACCAAGAGTATGCAGCAGAGCAGAGTGCTCATTTATTTTCCTGAATGAGAGACATTGCAGGGTTCCGCGGTGCAGCCCCTGCTTGGCAAGTGCCAGGTCCTGACTTCGATGCCTAGTACCTGAAAACAAATCAAACAAAAAGCCAAAACAGCATCCATTTCTATTTATCTATTGTCTTGGTTACTCTTATTTCGTTGCTGGGACAAAATCCCCAACACGCACAATGAAGGAAGGAAAGGTTTACATAGCTCACAGTTAGTGGAGGTTTCAGTCCATACTTGGCTGGCTGTAAGACAGTGTAGCATATGGCCGAGGGCAGTAGTTCATGGCAGCAGAAAGCAGCAAAATGGCAAGAGCAAAAGGGAGGAGCAGGGGCAGTAATGGCTACAAGAGCAAGTCTGTCTCCCATTGCTACATTCAGGCCATCCATCCCAGGCTGGGTGTAGCACTCGCACCCAGAATCCCAGCAGCACTTATGCAGCCATAATCCCAGCACTGGATCATGAATTAATCACAGAGTCTGCAAGTCTGCCCAGTGACTGCACGAGGCTTTGGGGGGTCAACTAGAAACAAACCTTAACACCGATGAAACTATGTGGAGAAAACAAGAGTGAAGAAAGCTCAATCATAGACCTAAAGGTGGAAAGTGCACATGTTCAAGAGATATTTGGAACAGTCATTCAGAATTGTTTCTTTGCAGCGTTTCCTTCAAGCATCAAAAGCATCTGTCCTTATTGTTGCCTCACACAGTGACTTGAAAAAAAAGAAAGGAACATTGCAGAGACCAGTGACTTTGCCACAGGAAGAAGTGTGTAATTTTTTTTTTTTTTTTTTTTTTTTTTTTTGGTGGTGGTAGTTGTACCAGGGCACCATAGGAATAAGATAAGCCCCTTTTATTATAATTAATAGTCACTATTTTCATTAATGATGTTAGCAGGAGTTGTGAAAGATTCATTTATATTTTAGTAGAGATCGAGCTCAGGACCTCATATTTGCCAGTCAGGTGCTTATGCCACTGAGCTGTGTCCTTGGCAGAACATTCATTTTTGTAAAGGATGCAAATTAAATTGTAACGTTATGGGGGAGGCTTACCATGTCTTCCTTTATCGTATTTACAGAAGCTTTGCAGTGTTTTCCTTTTTAATGACTGCTTAATATTTGCTGTGGACCTTGAGTTCAGATTCAGTATGTAGATAGCTTTAGTTGACATTTAGCCTGAGGACCTACCCTCATCTGTGAAGGGACTTGGACAGGGACAGAAGTCTGACAGGCTCAGGACAGGCCTGGTGCAGCCCTGTCCCTGCAGTGGGGCCTTTCAGTCAGTCTATAGTATGAATGAGAAATCAATATTGATGTCCAACTCTCTTTGATCTCTGTGTTCCAGTTATGAATGGAGTGATGAATTAGCCTGAGAAAAGGCATGTTAAAATGTCTATGAAAGATTACAATAATAGCTGAAAATGACATGCTGATAGAATATTCTTTGTATAAGGCATCCATCCTCTGGCAAATGCTCTTAAAGTATGCCTAGAGGAGGAGAGTCTCAGTACTCGTACATCAGTTCTTTCAGCATTTTCTGATTGCATCTTATATGTCAGGTACTAGTGTGGGTGTTTGGGACACAGAGATGAATAACACACATTTCCTGCTTCCTAGGGACTCGGTATAAAGCAAAACAGTTAAAACATAAAGAGAGGATGATGAAACCATTGTGAAGTGAGAAGAATTCTGAAGATATTAACAGGACAGAGGAGAAACACCTCATTTAGTAAGGTGGCTTGACAGGGCAAAGAATAGGCTTTGTAGGGGAGCTAGTGGCTAAACTAAATGTCAGTTGGGCTTAATTGTGGGAAAAAGAGATGGAAGTGGAGGTGGATACCAAAATCATGGAAGACAGAAACAATATGGCATGAGGAGAAATCCAAGCACTATGGAGAGGAGGAATTTGCTTGGTTTTGCTTATTTTAACATATTCTCATATACCACTGAGACTATCCAATTAGAAAGACTCTGCTGCTTCTGCTACATAGTGAGAACACATAGATTTGTAACTCTAAAAATAACTTACATCCTTAAGAATGCAAAAGAGGAAGGTGACACTAGCAGGACAAATCTATAGGCTGTAATCAAAGTGAAGGGTCCAAAAGCACACATTCTCTTGATATTTCCAGCATAAAGATTATTTTTTAAAAAACCTCTCAACATTTATATTTTACATGAAAAACTTTAGGAGAGCTTTTTCTTTATTTAATAAATGTAAACATAGATGGAAATTTCTGGAACGGTGGCCTTCCGTTCTATGCCATCCTGGCTGTACTGCTGCATTTTGAATTTGAAGCTAGTTCTTATCATATTACTAGAGATTTAAGTTTGAATCTACTTCTCAGTCCTGAATTACAGCTGGTAGAAATATTGACAGCTCCACATTCTTTGTGATTAGCTGAAGGCATCCCACATGTAATGCCCGCTAGATTCCTTAAAGTCCCTTGATGTCATTCCTCTGCTCAAAATAATGTATGTCTCTGTTTCTGTCTTACTTGTAGAGGAAAAATCCAGATGTTTTAGTTATTTTTAGTTACACCTGCTGAATGCACTGTAGTACCTTTATTACTGCAAATTCCTGTTATTGCCAACACTCAGTGTATAGAACAAGTATAATACATAGCATCTACCATTCTCTGCTTTTTAACTTTCTCATAGAACCCCTCACTGACTAAATTTCTGTCTTCATACATCACAATATGTACTTTAGAATCTAGTTCAAGTGCTATGCTTTCTGTCGACAGGCCTTTGTCTCTTCTGTGGAAAGTGAAGACATTTATTTATGATTTTTATTCATCGCATATTAAGTAGCTGCTTTGCTGCAGATAATCAAAGGTGACTATGAGAACTGCATCAAAGGTCATCCTTTATGGCTTTAATCAGTCTGGATTAATCACATTTAATCCATATTTGAGGGAGACTCCCTCAAATACAAGGCTACAGACAGCCACGTGAGGGTCCATGGCAGCTGTTGCACATTCAGGAGACAAAGGTGAGACCAAGGAGAGCCCTAGTGTGTCCACAAATCTAGACATCTCGAAGCCAGTGGGAAGTATCTCAGTCCGTGGGCAGAGTGCTGTAAATACACAGAAGCTTAAAGTACACATGAGTGTCCAAGTGCTAGGATGAATCTGGCTTGGTTTGGCCATGAGGGCAAGGTATAGTGGGACAGCTACAATGAAACAGAGACTAGCCTGTGAGGCGTTGCTTACACTGTTAAGACGGTCCTTGACACATGATGGACATGTAGAAAACGTTTATTTGATGAATGAATCACTTTACCTATTAATATGTTAAACTTTTATGTTTAAATAGATCTATGTAAATACATTTAATAATAATCACTATCTGATACCTATATTTATATTTGAATATATTCACATAAATATATTAATGTACTAGGGTGCACCATGGCTTATTAAATAATGTATTCGCATTTGGCATTTTCACTACTCCAACTGTTACTGTAGAAATTGGAAAATGTCTTACTAATGTGAGTACCCAAAGTGCAACAATTTTAAAGTCAACATGTATAAATAAAGTGTTCACATGTATTTTTGTTTTTCTTTTTTCTTTTTCTAGGGTCAGACATTGTTCAGTGGTTAATAAAGAACTTAACTATAGAAGATCCAGGTAAATAAATCCTTTCCCATTGCTAGAATTTTTTTCTTTGTGGTTTTAAGAAATATATTTTCTCAGGGCTACTTAATATGCTAAGTAAGCAAGCCTCCTGAGAAATTATAATTAAATTTGAACTCTGCTTTTTGTATTTATGGAAATTTGGTCAGTCTACAAACATTTAACTGAAATGTATATTTTTATAATTTTTTGCATATTTAATGTCTTACTTTACATTATTTAATTATGGGTTATTGTTAGAATGGATGATATAAAGATATATAATCTATTATAATTTATTATATAATAATTATGTGTATTGATTATATCCATAATTATTATATGTAGTTTATACCAAGTGATAATGAATTCATGAAAATATTCTTTGTAAGAAACATCAAAGAAAATCTAAAAAATGTGTAATTTTACCTCAACTCTGTTTTTAACTGAGGTTTGAAAACAATATGTTATTTCTAATTCTGAATTTTTGTCAGGTGAACGTGAGGTGTGTGTGTGTGTGTGTGAGTGTGTGCGTGTGTTTCTTTTCTTTACGTCACACACCCACTAACTCTGGCCATCCTTGTGTCGGTTCCACAGTACCACACTAATCCTGAGAGCCCAGGAGCCGTTGCTCCCTCCTGACATTTTGCATTGTCTAATGCAAATGCTCTCCTATAGGAGACATTTAATGCCTTTCAAAAGCATAATTTAAAATCCTTCATCAGCGGCAGAAAACTCATGTCCCTGAAATGAAAATAAGAAGTTCTCTGTTGTTTAAAGAAGATGCCGAGAAACAAAAGCAATGACTTTGGAAAAGTGGGGGTCTCAGGTATCTGGGAGTGACACAGGAGAGACAGAGGTGTGCGCATCCACACAGCACCCCACCTTCTGGGGCCCCTTGTGATTATCACAGGCGTGTTTTAGGATTCAGTATCTGAGGATACAAGGTTTGTAAATCTGCCCTGTCGTGAGATACCTGTGTAAAGTCATGCCCAGAAAAAGCTGGTGAAAATCTGTGTATAAAGTCTGTATCCACCACCCTTTGCTCACTGATGTGAGTTTTTAAAATATCCTAGCAGGTTTTATGGCTTTAAAACAATTAATTAAAGATGAAGCCGCAATTGTCAGGATCATGTTATTACTGAGTGAAAAGAGGAGATAATTATAAGGAAGGAAAGCCGCACTCTTAGTGAGTTCCCACTTCAGCCCCTCCCGGGAGCATGCGTCATTGTGTGAACTATAGCACCCCGTGAAGCGATCCCAGTGCTATGATAGGTTGGCGTAGTCAGTCATTACTGGCGAAGTGCGCATTGGCAGGGAATATTATAGAGGGCAAGTCTAAGTGAATTTAAAAGTTGTTTTTCTAAGTTAAAGACTGAAGATATACTGCAGCAACAGTTTGAAAAATATTTACAAATACAACATAAGGAACAATTACTATTTGTAAGTTACATGTGGAATCTCAGTTTAACTATAAGATATATGAACAACCTATTTTCTTGTCTGACTCAGTAGTTTAAGCAGGTATAGAGCTTTGTTATGAGGTGTATGAAGAGATAAAGCATATCCAGGAAGCCATAGACATTCTTAAATCATACGTATGATAGGCTGAGATTTACTTTTTAATTCTTTGATTTGGCTTTACTTTGAATAAAAACATTTGATGTGCTAAGTTTTAAGAAGACTAAACAGTATCTGTGATATTCTGAATATAGACTTACAGAAAATGAATCGATCTGGTAACTGTTCTGAAGTTGACTGAATATGGTTAACTGTGTAGCTGACATTCTGGTGGTTACTTTGGTGAGTGAATATTTGAAATCAGTCATACTAGTTTGGAGCTGTGTGTGTATGAAGACTAAGTGAGGTATGATCAGAGCAGATGTTGAGTGTTTCAATTTTAAGAAGGTATTATAGTAGAAGACTATTGCATTAATCCCCCTCAAAATGCGCCCTCTTACATTTATCTCATTATTCTTGCTGCCTGCTGAAGCAGTTCAGGAAGTCCTCTTTCTTGAGTGTCTTTAATTACATTGTCATGGCTGCTTCAGTATCTTCAGTCAATTCGGGACATTTATCTTTCATGATCATTTTTTAAAACTATTTATTTATTTATTTATTTATTTATTTGGTACAGGGTCTTCCTATGCAGCTTGTACTTGTAGTAAGCCTCCTGCTCAGCTTCCCCGGGGCTGGGATTACAGACTTGTGCTACCACACCCAGTTTCGGTGGCCAGCAGGGCGCACCTCAGATTCCAGGACTGGCGTGGCATGAGGTACTGGGGACCAAACCCAGGTCCTTGCATTTGCCAGGCAGGCGCTTAGACCGCCATGTTATCTCCCTGACCCTCGTGATCATTTTGACTTTGTGAAAGAGCCAGAAGTCATTTAGTGCCAGATGTAGTGGGCTAGATGAATAAAAACTCATGGTAATGTGTTGAGACAGCCTGCGTGTCCTTTGGGTGGGACACAGCAGCAGCACTGAACAGATTTTTCTTTTTAACCACACTTCAGAAAGAGGATTTCTAGAATTTATCAGAAAATGGCAAGAACATTGGGGTAAGTGTGTTCAAACTAAGTGAGAATATTTTAAGGGAAATGTATGGTGGTGTGTCTTTTACTATAATAAAATTGTTTAATTTAAATGCTCAGCATATATTTTGATCACTCCTTGTAGTGCCGTGTCCACTTCTTAACTCATCAGCTTTTTATCTGGTTTCTGTGTTTGGCACCTAGGGGGTCTTTTGCACATTTAGATCTCAGTAGTTTGTTGAAAGAGGGTTGTATGGGAAGGTGGAGAAAGGGACTAATTCCAAGTCAGAGAGCAGGATCTTATGGTCCTTCTAGATTAAGGATGAGAGATGCATTATCTCCAGGGTCTTATCCAAGATCAATGAATCCATTATTATTTATACATTTAGCATTCAGTATTTCTTTAGTTTAACACTTAGTACCTTTTCATTCCTTTATAGCAATCCAGTGGACATTCAGAAGATTATTCTACTAGAGTCTTTAGTACTATTAGAAATTTAATCACATTGTTATTCTTTTGTTTGTTTGTTTTTTGACAGAACTGGGGATTGAACTCAGGCCTTGTGCTTGCCAGGCAAGTGCTTATTGTACTGAGCTATCTCCCCGGCCCCTGTTATTCTTTCAGAATGAAGCTGGATTTGAACTTTTAGTTACAATTGAAGGTTATTTTTAGTTGTGTTGATGCACATATACAGTTGCATGTAGTTGTAATAGCAACATAGAAGATTAGTCCGAAATATTTGCTGTTTTTGACTTCATGGCTTCACTTTTATAAGGTATATTATTATAGAAAAAATCAATTTCTTTGTTGATTCATTTATACTTTCTTTCATTTAACAATTTTTTTTTTTTTTTTAAAATCTCTCACTGTGGACCAGGCACTGGGAATAAAGGCTTGAACGACAGACTTTCTCTGGCCTTGGTGATCACACTCATCCTTCCTCCCTTTTCACTGACCATTGATTTGTTTTCCGTGGCCTGCCATGGCTCTTCATTCCTCATGTAATTTGTGCATTTTGTAATGTCTCTAAGTGCCTCTATTCCATTCAGCCACACACAGTTGCTAGGCAACATATGCCAGGGCCACCCCTACTCCACCTACAGGAAGCCCCTCTGGCCTCTCCCATGCGGGATCGCACTCAACGCCATCAGAGCAGAGCCCTGACATTTTCATCCTATCAGACTTGCTCCTTCCATTTCCATTACAAGAGCTGAATCCACTGTTAATGAAAACGCTGCGTCTTTCCATTTATTGAACTTTGATTTGCTGCTCTTCAGGAGTGCTTTTATGTTTTATTCATAGAAGTTTTACAAATTATTTCTTATTAAGTTTATGCAAATTATTTTTAATTTTGTTTTACATTTTAGGATCATTAAGTAATGGTCACATTCATCCTAGGGAATTTGTTCCTATACACAATGCTGTGACTTTTCTTTCTTCTCGTCCTCCTCCTCTCCCTTGAACCCCTCTTCCCCTCCTTATGTACAAAAGCTTTGTTTCCATTTTTACCTTCTTTTCCCCATTGCCCCTCCCTGGTTTCCCTTCCCATTTGAAGTCCTGTTTCACAATATCTGTCACACATTTTGGTCCTTATTTACACTTTCAGTTTCTCACACCACAGAAACCATGCAGCATTTAAACATGTATGTCTGATTTATTTCACTTAAGAGTATGGGCTCAAGGTGCAGCCTCTTACCTACATATGTGTCAAGTTTATCCTTCTTTATGGCAAAGTAGGACTCCATCGTATAAAAGCATAGCACTTTTTTTGGGGGGAGGGGCGCGATCCCAGGGATTGAACTCAGGACCCTGCTCTTGTCAGGCAGGTGCTTATTCTACTGAGCTATCTCTTCGGCCTCATAGCACATATTTTTGTGTGTATGAAATGATGGATTCGTAAATGCTAGCTATATTTTTACTAGTTTGCTAAATTCTTGTTCTTACAAAATGTTTTAATCAATTTATTAGAAAACTACAATAATTTTTCCAGCAGTTTTAGGATTGTTTGTGGTCCTTTTACTCCTGAGCTTTGAAATATTTGACAGTGTCTTCTGTTGTCCATGTATATGTTGACTTCTTGACTAGATGGACAAGTAGATGAGATAAACTTCACTCTTCAACCTACAGTAGTTATTAACTTATTGCTGTCATGCCTTCAGTATTCAGGTAACATGAAACATACTGATTTGAATCATTGATAGTATATATATAGAATTGTTATGGCTTGTGTCTAGTTGTCTCCCCAAAGCCTCACACAGTCGTGGGGTGGACTTCTAGAGTTTGTAATTAACTCATGGTCCACTGGGATTATGGGTGTGAGTACTACACCTAGCCTGGGGTGGATAGCTGAATGCAACATAAGGAGACGGACTTGCTCTTCGTCCTTGTTGTTGCTGCTGCTCCTCCTGTTTGCTCTTGCTCTCTCTGCTCTCCACCATCACCATAAATGGCTGCTCTCTGCCCTGTGCCCCTCTGCCTTGGT